GAAAAGCCCAGGGTGTAGAGTTTTTGGGGGTATCCAGGAAGTATGATATCTCCTCTCACAACCCAGAATTCATTCCCTATTAAGAAAAGTTGATAACAACAGGTTGTGAATATCTTCTTCTGGGAATGACACAGTGTTTTTCATGAAAGCTGGTGGTTACTTGAAAATAATCATTGAATTTGAAAATAACTGAAAGTAGTTCTAGAGTCAAAAAAAATGCAATAGTTCTCCACATTACTTTTTTTGAAAACTGAAATTTCAGTCTTTTTTCATATTAATGCTAGTATCATTCCTAAATTCAATAGAAAATTTCCCAGAAGAAAAATAATAACATTTATTTTGGCAGGGAAAATTTTCAATGTGGATATTAAGAAATAAGATAGATGATCTTTAACTTAGATAATAATTTTATTATTTCTGTGACTGAAACACGCCAATTTATTGGACTAAATTCAAGACTGTAGAATCCTACAGAAAGAGCTTAAGTTGCTTTGAAGACAGATGCAAAGTCTCTAGGCTACTTGGGAAGAAAACAGGAAAATCAAAAGACAACATTTTACCTTTAAAAATGACCATTTCATCTTTTTCAGGAATTTCATATGCAGCATCGACACCAGGTGGCAGCTGTGGCCAGAATGAAGATACCAACTCAAAGTCAACTGTTCTGACTGCTGGATGTTTGCGCCAAATATGCCTTGTGTAAATATAGAACAGGTTTTAAATAAAATTGGACGTTCACACACACTAAGGCATGAAACCACATCATGGCCATCAGGGCAGTATTTATCTGATATAACTCAGCTATGTACCTGAGTTAGTCATGCTACATTCCCTATGAACTTAATGTAAAGACAGTTATTTCCATGGTGGGATTGCTCTCTTCTTGATGCAGACATTTAAAATAAGTCAGATGAGCTGTTCTGTCAAAACATTTATTTCCCCTTATGCACCAGTGGAGCTTAGAGAGACCTGTTTCACAAGGCTGATATGCACTAAGACTTTGGCAACAAAAGCCCAATTTTCCTTTCCTTTTATTAGTACACTAAATCCTCACTACAGGAACTCCTCAAGCAGGTATTTTGTCAGGGCTGGAAAGCTCTCAGCTCTCTCAAAGCAAGGACAGCAAAGAGGGCGTGAAGTGTCCCAGAGCTGGTGATGTGTTTTGCCAAAGCTGAAGTCTCCCTGATGCTGAACACCTGGGACTTGATTACAGCCTATAGTGAGGACAGCACATGTTTTCAGAGGAGCCATTTCCCCCACCCTCTTCACGGCACCCCTGTTCCAAATGTCATCCTCCTCCTTATACTTATCTCTCTTGATTTCTCCACCACCCTCTTTGTTTTCGTTTTCCATCTTGTCTCCTGATTCCCTGTCTTATCTTCCTGTCAAAAATGGCTGATAT